CAAGACTCGAGTCAAAGAAGGTTCTAATTGTTCTTGATGACGTGGACCACAAAAACCAATTAGTATCCCTAACAAGAGAAAGAAGTTGGTTTGGTTCGGGTAGTTTTATAATCATTACCACCCGAGACAAGCGATTGCTATGTCGGCTTGGAGAAAAAGAGAGATATGAGGCCAAACTATTAAATGGCAATGAAGCTATGTTACTTTTTTGTTGGCATGCTTTTGACAGTGATTTTCCACCACAAGATTATGTTAATTTGGCACACGACATAATCGAATATTCAGGCAGGCTACCATTAGCTCTTGTGACATTGGGGTCACATTTACAAGGAAGTTCTGTAGAAGAATGGGGAAATGAATTAGAAAAACTAAGAGCAATTCCTCATTGTGATATCCAAACGATTCTCAAGAAAAGCTTTGATGGACTTGATGATGAAACACAGGCAGTTTTTCTTGATATTGCGTGTGCCTTCCAGGGGTTATTTGAGTATGAAATTACCGAAATATTAAATACATGTGGCTTTCATGCTAAAATTGCAATTGCAACTTTAGTCCAAAAACACTTGCTCCAAAGATCTTTGCATGGTTTGGTGATGCATGATCTAGTGCGAGATATGGGAAGAGAAATTGTTCGCATGGAATCAGCTCGAGATCCTGAAAAATGGAGTAGATTGTTCATCCCGCAAGAAGTCTGTGATGTTCTACAAGGAAATAAAGTCAGTAAATCTTTTATCCTTTATCTTCTTTTTTTTTCAATTTAATTGTTTATTGCTTATAATTTCTGTTGTCATCATAAGAAGTGAATTCATTTTGTGCTTCATCTCTGGTTAGTAAGTATTTTGTAGTTGTTTGTCAACCATTGTAAACTAGAAGTGACATGTGCTAAATTCTTAACCCACACCAAAGGCAAAAATAAAATCACCTATTTAACAATTATCCAAATTTGGTGATGCATATTTCTTATTAAATTCTTATAACTAACTTGCTTATGGGCATAGACCATAGTATCTCCATGATTAGTTATTCAAAGATATGTGACTTTACTTAACAAAATGTGGAAATTAAGCTTGCTCGAAGAAATCAGGCATGTGAACGTTTGAAAACTGTTGAATAGGTACATATGTGAAACATTATTTCTAGAACAATATATACAAAATGTTCTTTTAAATATATTCAAATATATATTCTATCTTCAATTGGCGCTATTATCAGGTTTCTAGATGCAATTTGTTCTCTTTATTCATCCTTTTTTTTCCTTTGATATTATCATGTGAACTTGTTGAATGCTGCTCTCATCTTAGCTGTTTGAGCAATTTTAAATTTGTTTAACATCCTCTAATGTTTAAGTTCATTTTTCTTGATACATATGGTGTAACCTCTTTGTTTGACCTTCAATTGGTATAAAGTAGTTTTCCCTCTTAATTTCTGGGACTTAAGATGGTCTTAAGATACTAATCTTTTCTCCAAATTACAGGGTTCCAAAAAGGTAGAAGTACTGAAGGTAGATCGACGAGCATTTGAGGGACTAAACTTGAGCACCAAAGCATTTAAGAAAATGAAAAACCTTAGGGTTCTTATAATGAATGAGTTACATATTAGTGGAGATTTTGGGTTGTTGTCCAAGAAGCTCAGATGGTTGTCTTGGAAAAAATGTCCTTTAAAATGTATATCATCAAATTTTCCAGCTGAGAATCTTGTAGTTCTAGATATGGAGGAGAGTGATATCCAAGAATTTCGATTGAATTTGCAGGTTTGTTACTCAATTATACAATTTTATGTGTACTGCTATTGCAAACTGAGTGAAAGAAAATGTTAATTGAAACTATATTTGGTTTACTTTTAGTGTTGTAGAAGTTTGAAGAAGCTGAATCTCTCTTATTGCAAGCAACTCAGAAGCACTCCAAACTTCAATGGTTCCCTGAGTCTTGAGATTTTGAGTCTCTATGGTTGCTCAAGTCTGACAGAGATCCATCCATCAATAGGAAATTTGGACAGACTAATTAAACTATATATGTCTCGTTGCGAAAAACTTAGGGATCTTCCAAGCAGCATATGCCAGCTAATATCCCTTGAAGAATTGTTCATTCATCACTGCTCCTCTATAAAAACACTGCCAGATAACCTTGGAGATATGAAAAGTCTAACATTTCTTTATGCATCTTGTACGGGTATAAAACAATTGCCTAGATCTGTTGAAATGCTAAGAAATCTTGTAGCTTTGAGAGTGGGAGGTCAAGTGTTAGAGGCCAAAATGAGTATTTCTGGAAGAGGAGTCCATCGGATACAATATTCCTTGCTAACTTTTGTAACCGAATTGAGCCTTAGATACTGGAATTTGTCCGATGCTGATATTCCTAGGGATATTGGGAGCTTATCCTCCTTAAAGTTTTTAGATTTGAGTGGCAATAGTTTCCATTATCTACCCTTCGATTTTTCTAAGTTACGATTATTGGAGAAGTTGTGTTTGAATGACTGTGAGAATCTTCAAACACTCCCGCCAGTATCAAATTTAGAGAATCTAGCAATTATTGAACTTGAGAATTGCCAAAAATTGGTCAAGATTACACAGTTGGACAACCTCCCTTCTATACGGTTGATCAACACGAATAATTGTAGTTCTCTGCAGAATCCATTCAATGAAGGCTTCTTTAGTGCACCTGCTCTATCATTTCTATCTAGAAGAGATCCAGATTTGGTTAGTCTTTTTCTCTCTCCCTCTCTCTCTCTCTCTCTCTCTCTCCGATCATATTAATGATCTTGAGTCTTTGTCTGATGCAGGATGTTTTAGATTTTTATCTCGAATGCAATGAAATTCCAGAATGGTGCAGCTATCAAGTAACAGCTTCATCTATGTGTTTGACTATGCCGACACATAATAATGAGTATAACTTCTTGGGAATGGTTCTCTGGTTTGTTTCCGACTATTTCCATGCAGCCCCTGTTTTAAAATTCTGGATTAGTATTGCCCATAAAGAGAATTTAGTTTTTCCTCCGTGGAGTACACCTGATGGACATAGAGAAGTATCATGTGTATATTACATATCTTACTTACATAGAGCTTTTGATGGCCAGATGATCAAAGGTGGGGAAACGATAGAAGTGGGGTCAGAAGACATTACAATAAAGAAGATAGGGATCCATCTGTTATATTTAGGCCAACATGGTAACGTTATATCTTTACCGGGAGACGTGGATCATTCTTATTCTAAGTACCCAAAAAGTTCAACAGGCATATCAACTCCTTATAAAAGAGCAAAGTTCTGAGTCAAGATAATTTTCCTTTAGAGCTAATCATGTTATATTTTATATTACAGTATTAATAGGTAGTTGGTAAGATAATTTTTAATTGAGATTGATATTTTTCCAAATATTTGTTATATACTTTTTTTTATGTGTTCAGTTGTGGTTTTTGATGTTGGACTTTTGGACGTCGATAATTAATATATATATAAATAAATAATGTATTTATTATAAAATTTTCAAATGGTTGTGTTGGACTCATGGACTATTTGGCATTTGGGCCCAAAAGGAAAGACTGAGCAACATAGCCTTTATTTATCTTACTTGTAATTGAGGCTATTGTAATTACGCAACTGGCCCATTTATATTTTTAGTAGTTAGCCTATTCAGATTTAACATTGTATTAGTTATGTGTAATTTGGGCCATATATAATACGAAGGGTCAGGGTCATTTTCCTCAAATCAGTTCTAGAAAGATTCTCTCTCCTCTCTTCTCTTTCACATGAACCCTAATACATTTTCCCAAAATCCCGATCGATTCTTTCATGTTTTCATGGTATCAGAGCTAGATTCTGGTCCATCTCGTCCTCCTCTATCTTCCCATATTACCCTCATCGAGTTTCGTTGAGGATTTCAATTTGTGTGGGTAGCGATTTGGAGATTACATACTATTTTCGTCGGCGGTCTTCTGGCTCATTTTGACTCATCTGAGTGTCTTCTGGCCTGTGTTTATCATTCGTTTGCTTGTGGAGGTTTTATCTACAAGTATGCGTAGTCGTCGTTAAGCTCGAGAATTCTAGGGTTTCACGATTGTATCATATTTCATTAATCGTGGTTGCTCTGTTGTTGTGAAGTGTAATTTGGTTATTGTCTTGTTGTGAAATGTTATTTGGTTGCTGTGAAATGTTGTTTTGAAGGTTATACTTCCGATTGCGAAGAATCCGGTAACTCTGTATATCTCTCCTATTTGCATGAGATTCATCGGATAAGTTTTCATTGTTGAATGTTATAGTAGTTATGGGATCTATTGATTTTGACGTGTGTAGTGCATCTGGCACACATGAGTTCATTCCCAAACCCTTTAGTCCTTTGTTTGTGCAGTCTTCAGATGTTCCAGGTGTTTCACTTGTACCGGTTCCTTTCTCTGGGACGAATTTTGGGGGTTGGAAAAGGAGTATAATTGTCTCTTTGTCTGCTAGGAACAAAATTGCGTTTGTTGATGGTAGTTTGCCTAAACCTCCTGATAATTCCATTGAGTCTAAGCAGTGGGACATATATAATAATATGGTAATTTCATGGTTAACAAGTTCTTTATCTCCTGATATTACGGATAGTGTCCAGTATTCTGAAACAGTTGAAGAAATATGGAGACAGTTAAATAACAGATATGGGACTGTAAATGGAACTAAAGACTTTAAAATTAAGAAAGAACTCGCCTCTACCTGTCAAGATTCCCTAGATATTGCCTCGTGCTTTAACAAATTAAAGAAATTGTGGGATGAATTGAGAGTTGTTCGTAAAAATCATGGAAATCACTGCACTTATGGTGCAAAGGAAGGTATTCTAGAGGATAGACTTCATTAGTTTCTCATGGGGCTGAATGAAGTCTATGTTAGTGTTAGGAGCAACTTGCTCATAGTGCAACCACCTCCAACACTAGACAGTGCATATAACATTCTTCTTCAAGATGAAAGGCAGAGGCAGATCAATTCCAAATCTCAGCTTGGTCCTGATTTAGTTGCCTTCACTGCCAAAATCAACCTCAACCATCAGTCTTGTCCCAATAAAAACTATAGGCCTCCTGGTTCCAATACTTAGAGACAGTATGTCCAAAGAGTGAACTTTGATCAAGCCAAAGGGAATCTATTCTGCAGATATTGTAAGAAGAGTGGGCACTTAATTGATAAGTGCTTCAACCTTCATGGTTTCCCTCATGATTTCAAATTCACCAAAGGGAAAAAAATTGCAGCAAATGCAACTGTTGGAACAAATATTTCTTCTGATGATTGTATGAATTCTTCTTCTCTTCCTGCTACTGGAACTACCAAAAATGATTCACAAGGTTCATTGGTACCTAGTTTAACCAAGCAACAATATTCTCAGCTAATGGCTCTTTTACAACATTCTTATGCATCTGATTCTGCACCATCTCAATCTGACCTCATAGCTTCTATCAATTTTGTTGGTAATGTGCTCATTCCCAAAGTAGTGACTTGTTCTCTAGCTTGCATGTTGAGTCAGTCCTTACCCAATAAACGGATTATTTATTTTGGAGCATCTGATCACATGACTTATAACAATGACCTTTTAACCAATATCACACATTTGCTTATTCCTTATCTTGTCACACTTCCTAATGGATATAAAGTTAAAGTTACTTGTACTGGGTCTTTTTCTTTATATCATTCTATTATTCTTCCAGATGTTCTTTACATTCCCTCTTTAAACATAATCTAATTTATGTGCACAAACTTGTTCTGTTATTGATATGCACTGCACAGTTTAGTTCTGACTCTTGCTTGCTACATGGCCCTTCTCTGAAGATGCCTCTCGAGCTTGGTAAGCAAAAGGATGGGCTTTACAAGTTTGCCTCCACTACTGCATTTTCTTCTTCAGCTCAAATATTTTTACTATGCCTACTACATGTATCTTTCCATCTTTACCTTTTACTATTGTTGATCCTAATTCTGATTCTTCATTGTGTAATTCTAGTTCTTCTCAAAATGCTTTGTCTCAGTCTATACCATCTTGTAATGAAGCTGCATTGAATAAAATGGTCATCATTTGGCACCAAAGACTTGCACATGTTCATTTTGTTAGAATGAAGGGCATTTCTACTATATCTTCCTCTTTATCTTCCAAGCAACACTTCCCTTGTGAAATATGTCCATGGCTAGACAAACCAGACTCCTTTTCTTTGATAGTTCATGTGACGACCCAAAATGTCATCTTTAAATTTAATAATTAATTTTATGTTCTAAGACCTCAAAAGCACTATTTATCATTTCTCAACTTGCGTGCGCAGTCCGTAAAATTTTTCGAAAAATATTTATGTGAAAAATGGATTAAAATGTGAATTTGAGCTTTAAAACTCAACTGAGTTGACTTTGGTCAACATTTTTAGCAAACGAACTTGGATCAATGTTTTGACAGTTCCGGTAGGTCTGTATCGTGATTTGGGACTTGGGCGTATGCCCAGAATCAAATTCCGAGGTACCTAGCCCGAGATATGAAATTTTGATGAAAATAAAAATTAAAAGTTTTAAAAGCTTAAGTTCAAATAGTGATCGGATGTCGAATTATGTACAAACGACCCCAGAATAGAATTTTGATGACTCCAACAGCTCCGTATAGCGATTTTGGACTTAGGAGCATGATCAGAATTTTATTTGAAAGTCCTTGGTTAAATTAGGCTTGAAATGGCTAAAATAGGAATTTAAGTTTGAAAGTTTGACCGGAGAGTTGGCTTTTTGATATCGGGGTCAGAATCCAGTTCTAAAAATTTTCACAGCTCTGATATGTCATTTATGACTTGTGTGCAAAATTTGAGGTCAATCGGACTTGATTCGATAGGTTTCGACATCGATTGTAGAAGTTGAAAATTCTTAAGTTTTATTAATCTTGAATTGGGGTGTGATTTATGATTTTAGTGTTGTTTGATATGATTTGAGGTTTCAAATAAGTTTGTATGATGTTATAGGACTTGTTGGTGTATTTGGTTGAGGTCCCGAGGGCCGCAAGTGAGTTTCGGATGGTTAACAAATAAAAAATTGGACTGAAAAGCTTCTGCAATTTTCTTATGCTAGAAATACAGAAATCGAAGCCCAGAAATCGAGCCCAGATATCGAACCCAGGGTCGACGGCCAGGGTCGAAGCCAGGGACGAGGCTTAGGATCGAAACCATGATCGAGGCTTAGGCTCAAGGGCCATGATCAAAGCCAGGCTCGAAGGCCATGATCGAAGGCCCATGCTCAAGGGCCATGATCGAAGTCAGGCTCAAGGGCCATGATCGAAGGCCCATGCTCAAGGGCCATGATCGAAGTCAGGCTCAAGGGCCATGATCGAAGGCCCAGGATCGAGGCCCAAGACCGAGGCCAGGATCGAGGGCCATAAATATCGAATCCATGATCGATACCCAGGATCGATGGCTGCCTCGGCAGTTTATAAAACCGGGGATTTCGTGCCATTTGCCATTTTTGACGAACTTGAGTTTGAGCAGAAGCGATTTTTGACAGCTTTTCAAGGAAAAATATTTGGGCAAGTGATTCTAACTTGAATTTGGTCAATATACACGAATATATCATTGTTTTCGCCATTTAATTAGTGTATTGAGATGGAAATTTGGGAAAATTTTAGAAATCTCATAAAAACGAATTTGTGAGATTTCGGTGTCGATTCAAAGTCGGATTTGAGTGAAACTTATATGGTTGGACTCGTAATTGAATGAGTTATCGGATTGTATAAGTTTCACCGGATTCTGAGATGTGGGCCCCACGAGCAAATTTTGAACTAATTTCGGAGTTTATTGAAAAATATAGTACTTTCTTATGAAATTGATTCCTATAATTTTTGTTGACTGTGTCAAATTAATTATGACTAGATACGAGTCGATCAGAGTCGAAAAATCGAGAAAAAAACATACTACTTGGTTAAATTGGAGCAAGTCGAGGTAAGTGACTTATCAAACCTTGTGTGGGGGAAATTTCCCTTTTGGATTGGTATTGATGTGATTATTGAAATATATTGAAAGTCATGTACACGAGGTGACGAGGGTGTACACATGCTAAATATGGAAGATTATAATTTTAAATTGTGTAGATCATTTTGCGCATTAATTAAATTATTTTATCTTGTTATATTTTTCATCATTTATCTGAGTTATATACTTTAAATTTGCTTGACCTTTTTTCTGCTAATTGTTTTACCTGTTTAGTTGGAACTTGATTTGTTTTATTTTGTGCATTATTTGAAGGTTGATTTTTTTTAAATTAAATATTATTAATATAAAATATTTGACATTTTTAAATTTGGTATTGAAGCAACGTATTAAATATTTTGAAATATTATTTTGCTGAATTATTTATTCCTGAATATTTTTGTAAGATTTCCGTACTCATTGTGATGGAGACGTGAGCTCCTTATTG